CCCTTGATTAAGTTTTGTTTATTTGCTTTTTTGTAAACATATATAAGTTACAGTATTTATTAAAATCTATTTGAAAGCATTTAATATTCCTCGAATTTTTCATTAAGTTCCAGCAATTTGCCTTAAGGCACGATGCCATACACTATTTAGTTTAAAATCAAATCAAGAATTGAGAGCTAAAACCTGAACAAACAATTTTACACTTTTTTGCTATTTATAAAGAAACGGCTTGGCAGATCGTCGCACAAAACTGAGAAACGATAATGCACATCGAAATACATCGATTGGCTTTTAAAGTTCTGAAATCGGTTCAGGCGTTTTTGAGCAAACTAAAGGTCTAATTTTGACAAATGCTAAAAAAACGATACTAATTTTTGCGAACTTTGACGAATTTTTTATAGCTAAACGAGTTGTCGTAGAGCCGTGATATTTTAGTATGACCTATAAGACTATGGTATCTACCGTCAAAAAAACAATAATAAAAATCGTCGAAAGAAATTGTTTAAACACTTTTTTACAAGAAAACGGCCCGACCGATCTCTATCAAAAACTAATCAGCACGATTCCCAACCAATATCTTTCGAACGGTTTTTGAATTTTCAAAATCGATTCAGAATTGCGGACTAAAACGTGGACGAAACATTTTTCATAAAGAAACGGCTTGGCCGACCACTGCACAAAATTGATAAACACTAGTCCTCATTGAGACACACCCAAAAGCTTTTAAATTTTTGAAATCAGTCCAGCAGTTTTTGAGAAAACGTCGATTTACGGCAAAAAATCGGTTCGCGCGCACACATACACACATGAATACTTTTTCCAAATTTGGTCTCAATCGATTCAGAATAGCTTGAAACGTTCAGGATAAAACATAAAATTAGCGAATCGGAGTTTTTGATGAAAACATAAACTTCACCTTCGGGAAAAGTAAATAAGAGCAAAATTTCACTATTAACTTACGATAGGCTCCAAACCCGGTCCCCAAATGCGCCTCCAAATTCAACCCAAAACAGGTGCAAAATTGGGGACATTATAAGAACCAAAAATTCTACTAGGGCCAGCTTCATTATCTATTACCACATCGCCTGAACAAAATTTGGCCAAATCTTCACTCCATAAAATTCCTGAATAGAATCCTCTGCTCGATTCTTCTTTGGGGGAAGGAGAAATTGTTGTATCTTCGGAAATTTTAAAATTCGGACAAATTGATGTTGACGTTGGTGAGTTGATGTTGGAGGTATTGGTGACGTCAGATTTGTTGTCCTTGAGTTTTTTTTCGCTTTCCAAATGCCCATAAAGTCTGGCGAAAAAATCTCGAGGTGATGATGGACATTGGGGTTTTGGTTTTTTTGAGAGGGATGTGGTGTGGTTATCACTATCCATTTTTAGTTATAAAATACTCTATAAGTAAATTTAACTATTCAACAAATGCATTCGAAGATTTTCCAAATAATTTTGATGTTTTACAGAAAGTTTCTCATGAAGTCTCTTGGTTTCCAAAACGAAATAGTTTAGTTTCCAAATAATATTTCTCACTTAACTTTCTTTATAATTTTTTACTTATAATCTATTAAGTCATATATAAAAGAAAAAAATATTTTTTTACTGTTTTGTTTGATTAATTTTAATAGTTTGCTAATTTTTTAACTTTAATTTAATTAATTCTAATATTTTGCTTATATAAGCTTTATGTCTAACTTAGACAGTCTAAATAATTGTTTTTCTAATAACTTGTTTTTATAATGCATTTAAATATGTTTCTTATTATTTTGTTATAATCTATACCGTAGTGTTTTTTTTTTTAATTTTAAAAATTTAATAATGTTTTTATATAGTTTTCAATTGATTTTCTTGTTTTGCAAAAAAATTCCTCACTTTTTATTATTTCGTTGTTGTTTTCACAGAACTTTGTTTCCAAATAATTCTATCCCCAAAACTTTTTATCACAATATATTTATTTTATTTTTTCTTTTATAAATTTATTTCATTCACGATATATTTATTTTATTTAGTTTAAAATGAGATTACATATATTTATTTATATATCTCTCAAAAATGTTCGATGTTTTACAAAAAAGTTTTTGATATTTGGCATATTTTAGCATTTTCACTTAACTTGTTTTTATAATGTTTTCAAGTCTTTTATAAATTCAAAATTATTCTTTTCCTAGAGATATTATTACGATATTATTATCACAATATTATAAAAATAGTTTTGAAAATGCATAATATATAGTTAATTAATTTTTTCACAAAGAAATATTTTCACTCATTCTAAAATATGATTTATTTTGAATTTATATATAAATGAATGAATATAAATGAATTTTTTTATAAATGCTGTATATTATAATAAATTATTAACAAAAATTTAAACATTTTTAGTAACTGACAATTGTAATTATTTTAATTTTTTTTCCTTTGTATTATTATTAATTTGATTGTTGCTTTTACATAACTTTTTATGAAATGTATGTAAAAATATTCATGTAATTTTTCATTAATAGTTACATATATTTTTATATAATAATAACAAGTTCAGATTATAAATTTATTAATATATTTTACTTAGCGTAGTCTAAAATAAACCACATTTATTATATTTAAATATTAATCAATAATATATTATTATTACTTATATTTTTATAAGAATAATTATTTTATTCGTAATGTCTTATGAGTGAATAAAATTATTATAATAAATAAATAAATAAATGAATAAATTTATTATTTAATTAATTTAAATATTTACTTATTTTAATTTTTATAAATTTATGGAAAAAATTATTATTATTATTATTTATAAATTAAATTCGAAATATGCAATAAATAAAATCTATTATAATCTGTAAACAAATTTTATTAAAATTATTATTTATTTAATTTAAATGATTTAATTTAGATTATTTAGATGATTTGAAAATTCTGCATATAAAATTATTAATTTTACTATAAAAAATTGAATTTGTTGCTCACAATATGTTTAAATTATTATAAAAATTTAATTAAATTTATTTAATTTAATTTAATTTATTTAACTTTAATTTATTTTTAATATATACCACAAGTTTTTAGTTCCATAACAATGAAACCAATAAAAATGCTAAATTTTTAACAAGCTATCTGTCCACTTTTTTCACATTTTTCGTTTATTTTTCACATTTATTTATTATAATAATTCTATTAATTTAATTTATCATATTAATTTTATAATTTTATGAATTATTTTTGGAGTTGTTTTCACTAGAGAGACTTTTGAGATACTACTGTTACTGTTTGTTTCCGCCCCAAAACGAGGAAAAGCATCATCCCCAATATTGCGAGGGAGGATTTGTTGCCAACGTTCCCACAAGTGGGGAACATTTTTACCAGAAACATATTTTAGGAGATGATGATTGTTTTAAAACACGCATTTAGATAATTTTGAGATGATAGACAGGAGATGTCTTTACTGAACAAGTGTTACGAAATTTTTAGAATTAAAAAAAAATCGGAATTTTTGAAAGTCAACTTTTTCACTTTTGAAGTCTCCAAATTCTATTTTTCCAAGGTTATCATGTTTTTTTTATTTTTTTTTCTCTCCAGAATCTATTTTTTTTAGAAGTTCCAGCAATTTTGTTGATTTTCAGACAAAATTAAATAAATCAAGATTTTCAAAAAGTCCATTTATTCACAAGTTCAAAATTCTCAAAAATCTAATTTTTCAAGATTTTCAAAAAAAAAAAAATAGCTTTTCAAAATTTTGAATTGCGGTGCAAGAAATTCCAGTAAATGTTGATTTTTAGACAGAATTAAAAAATTTAAAATTTTCAAAAAAGTCCATTTTTTACATTTTCAAAAGTCTCAAAAATCTAATGTCTCAAGGTTTTAAATTTTTTTTTTCTTTTAAAAATTTTAATAGCGGTGCTGGTAGTTCCAGCAATTTGTTTATATTCAGACAAAATAAAATAAATCACAATTTTCAAAAAAGTCAATTTTTTCTCAAGTCACGTGATACAAAATATTCAGAATCGCAATTCAAAATTTTTAAAATCTGAAATTTTTTTGAAAATTTTGAAAAACTAGATTTTTTAGACTTTTAAAGTTTTGAAAATTAAAAAAAAAACTAAATTTTCAAAAAAAATGTTTTTTTTTTTTCAAAAAATGTTCAAAAGCAGACTATTCAAAATGCAATGATTTTTTATTAATACAAAACGACTTTTTGTAAGACTTTAATTTTTAGGATGATATAAATAAATCTTAGTGATTCGCCCTATTGGACTTTAAGGGGTCCACAATAGAAAAAAAAATTACTATCGTACTCAGCATAAAATGTTATTATATTTTATTTTTTTATTTATTTATATAATACTTATACAAATCTTTGAGAAAAAGTCAATACAATATTTATAAATAGTAACAAAGAGTAAAAAAATATTGTACATTCTCATAAAAAAATTGTAAATTTTAGCAGACACAAAAGATTGAGAACCAATGGTTTACCTTATCACTGTGCAAAAATTCATTAAAAATGTCTAAATATTTTTTCAAAAAATAATCAACAACTAATGTCATTCCAAGTTCAATGATTCAAGTTTTTGAATCATCGAAATCGGTTCAGGATTCGGGGGTAAAACGTGGTTCAAAATTTTTACATGTTTTTGGTAATTGGTAATTGACAAACGATAGTCCTTATCGAGATACATCGAATGGCTTCTAAATTTTTGAAATCGGTCCAGCCGTTTTCGAGAAATCGTCGACGAAAGGTAAAATTTCGGCTTGAATACACACCCGTACACACTTTTGATAAATACGGCCCCATGGCTTGAAACGCCGAGATATCGTAAAATTAGCAAATTGCATTTTCTGACAAACATAAACGTCTCCCTCGGGAAAATAACAAAAATTTTTCCCAAAAATGTCAATGTCATAATTCGTTTTTCATTTGTCCCAAAAAAAACCTTTGACACATTTTCTACGAATTTTCTCAACGTTTCAATTTTATTTTATTAATATTATCCATGTCGACTTTTGTAATAACCTATGCACTCATTCTACTCTTGTTGCCATATGGCAACACTCATCCGGATCCCCGGAAAACTTCAAAATCAAAATTGAGACAAACAAGTGTCGAAGTACCGGAAAACATAGTCATACCCGGAGTTATCGGTAAATAGAAACATAATAGAAATAAGGTAAACTAGTGGTGTATGGCATCGTGCCTTAAGGCAAATTGCTGAAACTTACCGTACCGTAATGAAATAATCGAGAAATTTTAAACGTTTTCAAATATATTATTGCAAATACTGTAACTTTCATTATTTTTGCTATCTTCTTATATCTGAGAACATTAACAATCGTCCTTTCATTTCGAAGTCAATTTCAAAAAAATAGTTGCCTAATTTACACAAAATTGAAAAAGTGCTCCCGTATAGTCACAGTCTAAACGCATTTGCAAATAATTCTGTGGGACATTTTCACTTAAACTGTGCTTAGCCTGGCGGCATTTTCACATGTTTCTATAGTTTTGACAAAATTAAAAAAGTGCCCCAATACACAAACAGTCTAAATGCACTTGGGTAAACATTTGTACCAGAGTGGCGCTTAGACTGTGCTTAGCCTGGGTAATTTTTTGAATTTTTAATCCAAAATTACAAAAATATTTTTCGAAAAAAAAATTAGAAACAAAATTTTTTTTTCCAAAATCAATTATTTTGTTGAAACAAGCACAAAGTTCTTTGAATCAATTAAATCGGAATTCTCTCAAAAACTGCTTTTTTTTGCACATTTAGCTCTGTATCTCCGAAACCGCTGGGCCTATCTTTGCCAAAAACTCATCAGCACATCTGCCTATTAATAGGAATCGAATGTTTTTAACTTCCCATAGGGCAAGTTATAGTAATCGCAAAAAAATCGAAAATGAAATTTTTTATATATCTTTACGTTTCAAAACCTTCTGAACATTTTGATATACCTTAGAAATAATGGATGTATGTGTGTGCGTGTGTGTGTGTGTGTGTGCGTGCGTGTATGTATGTATGTGCGAATACAAATTTTCGTCGATGATTTCGGACACACGGATCAACCGATTTGAATAACTCAAAAAGCATTCGATTCGTATTGATAAGGAGACGTGCTGATTAGTTTTTGGCGAAGTCAGGTCTAGCCGTTCCAAAGATACGGGGCAAAAAGTGCCGAAAACGGTAACTCAATTTTTAATTTTAATTCAAAAAACATTTTATTTGTATTGACTAAATGAAGAACTAATCAATTTTTGGAAAGGCAGGTCCAACGACTTTGGAGATATGGAGGAAAAAGTAAAAAAATGAGCCATTTGGCGGTCAAAAATGAACATTAGACATATGCACATCAAATTATCAGATATTTTATAGAGATTTCAACTTAGTTAACATTCCTATGGGTTCCGTACCAATGTTTACGCGTTAGACGGCGACGCGGCGCTTAGGCGCTTCGATAATTCTTCTTTATGCAGTTAAAGCAGTACGATTATTTTGAAAAAAAGTTCAGAATTCACAAAATATTTCAAAATAAGTGATTTAAGATAGAATGATATAATATGGTTCGAAATTCTATTAAAAGTTTCAAATCAATGATCAACTTTGATTGATTATTATTGATTATTTTTAATTAATAGAATTTTGAATTGCGGTACGGGAAGTTCCAGCAACATGCCTTAAGGCACGATGCCATAATTGCCTGAAGACAGAATTCCACTTACAGCTAGTTCCTTTTTCCAAAATGCAAGATCACTTTTCAGTTGAAATTCCATCTTTTTTCATAGTCACTAGTTTGACGTGGATGCTATAGCATTCATCTAGTATATAACGATCAAAATACGATAATACGACTACTCAAACTTTTATTGGGCGCGAACGTGTTAACGTGGAAGATCACTCTTCAGTCAAAACTGAATTTTTTTTCATAGTCACTAACTTGACGTGGATGCTATAGCATTCATCTAGTATATAACGATCAAAATACGATAATACGACTACTCAAACTTTTATTGGGCGCGAACGTGTTAACGTGGAAGATTACTCTTCAGTTAAAACTGAATTTTTTTTCATAGTCACTAACTTGACGTGGATGCTATAGCATTCATCTAGTATATAACGATCAAAATAGCAAATACATAAACATTTTCATACTTGTCACTACCAATTAACAAGCATAAGACATCGTTATCATAACAATTAATTTCTATCCTCTATCATTTATTTAGTTGGAGGTGATACCAAATATGGTTCGATGAAAGAAAAACCCCATTTCGGTAAAGCCGTGAGCCCTTCTGACGTCATGGATCAGATTATTAATATTTTGGAAACCAAAAGTGGGACGACCGAAAGTGTCGTCACTATATCGCCGACGACTAAAGTCTACACTCCGGTGGCTGTCAAGAACAAAGATCCGAAGGTAGTCCTGGAGCATTTGGAGGACATCATTACGGCGTTGAAACATTTGTCGAAGGAGGCGAAGAAGAACGAGGAAAGTGATAAGAGGGATGAGGACAAGAAAGAGAGGGAAGAGGACAAGATAGCGACAAGAAAGAGAAGGAAGAAGACAAGAAGATTATCAAAAGGAAAAGAAAGAGAAGGAAGATGACAAGAAAGAAAATCAAAAGGACAAGAAAGAGAAAGAGGAGGACAAGATAGAAAAGAAGAGGACAAGAAAGAGAAGGAAGAGGACAAGAAATATAATCAAAAGGACAAGAAAGAGAAGAGGAGGACAAGATAAGAAAATCAAGAGGACAAGAAAAGAAGGAAGAGAACAAGAAAGATGAGGAAAAGGACAAGAAAGAGAAGGAAGAGTATAAGAAAGAAAAGGAAGAGGACAAGATAGATAATCAAAAGGACAAGAAATATAGGGAAGATGATAAGAAAGATAAGGAAGAGGACAAGAAAGAGAAGGAAGAAGACAAGATAGAAAATCAAGAGAACAAGAAAGACAAAAAAGAGCACAAGAAGAACGAGAAGAGAAAAAGAGGGATGAAGAAGATTATAAGAAGGTTGATGTATCGACACAGAAATATGAGGTAAATGCTAATTTACAAAATTTTTAATTCAACGAGACTCAAAAATCAGATCGTGTAGTATATGAGCCGCTCAGTGCACACATCGACTAACTCCACTTTTTGAAAAAACTGAGATATTAGTGGGAAAGAACTTGGTATAATCATAACTTTTTATGATTATAATAATTTTCCAAAAGAATGAAAATTGCCACTGTGAAACGAAATTTTTTTTTGACCACTGAATCCATAAGTCATTTATTTCAGAAGACATTTTGATTAACTCCATTCTGTAGTGTATATGTTCTGGTTGGGTTGGATTTCGGGTTTCAAATTCATGAATTACGAATAAGAACACAGAACTGTAGGGTGTTGTGGGTCTCGAAAAAATTCATCTAGTTTTATAAAAGACATCGAGGACGTTACAAACTTGAAAATTACATACTAAAATTGTGTACCCGGCAAAACAAGAATATTAAAACTGCCTGAAGTTTATTGAAACTTGTTCAAAGTACGGAAATAAGAGCTAACTTAATTAAAAATAAATTTCTGGACGGTGAAAATAGTTATTAATCTATTGACTCAAGATTTTGTCATTACTGAGCCACGTGCGAAAAAAAAACGAGACCTAATTTTACCAGATAGTTGATACAATATAATAAAAACATTTAAGCGCCATTGTAGCTAAGCCGAATGCTTCACTAAGATTTTTTATCTATTTTTTATTTATTTAGAACAATAAATCAATAACAGAAAAGTAACCATCACAGGGTGTAATTGGCCTAAAATGCGCTGAATTTAGAATAGAAAGGTCCAAACCCAACGATATACAATTTAAGTGTGACTACAATGAAGATCCGAATTTTAAAAAAAAGTTTAAAGTTTAAAGTTGGAAACTTGATTAACTCCACAAGTCATATCAAAACTTTAACTTTAATGATAATTATTTTCTCACTATTAATAGTTATAAATCTTATATACCGTTACATGTAAGCTATATATATATGTATTCATACGTTCTAAAAAATATTTTTCAATTTATATTATAACAGGAATTTTTAAAAGCAATATACATTACTTTATCGCTTTTCTACACTTTCTGACTTTCGGAGTTAGTCGATGTGTGCACTGAACGGCTCATATATGTAGTAAATTTCCAAATCTCTCTTTTATTTCCATAACGAGTTCGTTTATCGAATTTCTTTAATCTAATTGTACTTTAAAACGCTGTTATTAGTATTTTTATTTTAATTTAGTTTCGCCAAGTTAGCTCGCCTAAGTTCATTACAAACCAAAATTTAACAAATCAATGAATATTTTATTAGACATCAATATTTTTGATACACTACACTTATATATATATATACTCGTATATATATATATATATATATATATACACTTTTTTAGCTAATTTGCCCCACCAATCTTTAATTTAATAATTAGTTTCATATGTTTCTATGAGAAAAAAAAGGACCCTACTGATCAAGAAGGAATCCATAAAACAGTAGAGTCAGTGCAGTGCAGTCCCTTCTTTTCACAAACACAAAAATTGAAATTGTTTTTGTTTTTATTACTACAAGATTTATCAATCAGATTACATCATTATTTATAAGTCGTATGAAATGATAATTAAAAATAATAATATAGATCAAATTATAAGTTCGATTAATATGACTAAAATAAAAAGTTGGAAAATTTGCAATCTTCAGAGAATTTACTAATTTCGAACCTCAGATTTAAGTTCCTCGTCAGTAGAGTCCCTTTACTCAAAATTAGAAATATTAGTTAGATTAATATGTCTAAGAAGACCAAGGTCCATTTTGGAGGACCAGGTAGATTTTGCTTCTGGTTTTCAAAGAAAATTTGCAATCTTTGAAGAATTTAAGTAATTTTTATTTCTGTTTTAATTTGCTTGTCAGTAGAGTTCTTTATCTACTATTTAGGTTTATTTTTTTTATTAATTTCTAACTATATAATAGCTAAAATTTAATTGTTTTGTTTATTTGGTATCAGTAGAGTTCTTTATCTGAAAATTAATTAGTTTACTTTTAAATTAATTAGTTTACTTTACAGAGTCCATTTTTTGCCTTTAATTTTAAAATAATAATAATTATAAATATATCAGAATTATCAGTTAGATTAATATGTCTAAAAAGTTTTCTGGCAAAGAAGTTGCTCGTCAGTCGAATCCTTTTTCTCAAATGCACACTTCAATATTATTTATTCTTAAAAATTTTGATGTGTTGCTGGTCAGTAGAGTCTCTTACCTTATGAGCATACTTGAATAGATTATTTTGCAAATTTAAATGTTATCCAAAAATTATTTATGTTACTTATACGTTTTAAGTGTTGTCAGTAGAGTAATTTTCTCAAGATTGATTATTTTTACTAATTTGTCATCAAAGTTGTTTGTTAGTAGAGTCCATTTACAGCAAAATAAATATTTACTCTATTTATATTCGATCTGAAACTTAAGTTGCTCGTCAGGAAAGTCCCTTTTGTGATTTTAAAATTAATTATTAATTACTAATTTCTATCCCAGATATATGTTGTTCGTCAGTAGAGTAGTACTTTTTGTCATCAAAATTAAAATACTCATTCTATTCCAGATTTTTGTTGCTTGTCAGTAGAGTCCTTGTTTGTCATTAAAATAAATTATTTCTTTAATTTCTATAAAAAACCGTTATTGAAAACAATTATTCTTTAATTTCTATCAAATATTCATGTTGCTTTTCGTCTCAATCTAATTTCTTGTCAGTAGAGTCCTTTTCTTAAAAGTAAAAAAAATATTTACCTTAACCTTAAAGCATTTTACATTTTTTTGGTAAAAATTAGCACAGCTTGTCAGTAGAGTCCTCGTAATAATTTGTAACTAGTGGTGAAATTTAAAATTAAAAAAAAAAACATCAAAATTTTCGAAAACTGAAAAATGAAATTTTTTATTTAATTTTGAAAATTTTGGTGAAAAATTACATTTTTGTAAAATTTAATGTATTTTTAAATTTTGACATTTTTTTTCATACTTTGATTTTTTGAAAGAATGAGATATTTTTCTACTTTGAAATTTTTGGAAAAAAATGGACATTTATGAAAAAATGGACATTTTAAAAAATTTAATTATTTTTAAAATGACTTTTATTTAATACTTCAAATTTTTGAAAAAATGAGTTTTTTTTAAATTTTGAAGTTTTTGGAAAAAATTGACATTTTTGAAAAAAATTGATTTGAAATTTTTTTCAAAAAGGCTATTGTAATCTGTGTTTTTGAAATCGTCGACCAAACGTAAAAAATTGTATCCGCACACACACACACACACAAACATCTATTTTTTTAGGGTATGCCAAAATGTTCAGGAACCTCCGAAACATAAATATACACAAAAATTACCACTTCCGATTTTTGAAACAATCACTATACCTATACCTTAATTACTAAAAATCATTTTCCCTTAGGATTCCAACGACGAATCATACCAGAAAGCCGAAGACGAAGACCGCCAATCGCGCCTTTTGAACCTACTCAAAACCTACATAAAACGAGCATCATCATCATACCCTACAACCCTTACCACAACCCCTATGACACCCACAAGACATACCCACACACCGGCTCCGTACTACGGAACCCCAGTACCCTAATATCAAAATCAACCAAGAAATCCGGA